CCAGTATCTAAGAATACCTTGGAATTTCGCAATTCAAACGTTAGTCCTCTTTTTCACGGTGAAGATTGAATCCAAGTTTCGATAAACAACCTTATGTCTAGGGGGATGTTGGTTTTAGCGACTCACCGACGACCTTAAGAATATGGTTTTATGATCCTCTTGAATCATTCCCATAGATCCAGAGCTTGTTAAGTTTATGAGTGCATATCATTTATGCCTCTAATATATATTGTTGATATAAAAGTACATGTATAAACTATATGAAAGTAGTGTTTAATAATATATGAAGATGTAATCTCATGCTCTAATATAATGAATACCCCTTTTTGCTTCGAAAATCTCAAAGAGTATTTGGGTAATTGTAGATCAAAATGGTTAGGTTCCTCTATTGCAGTAGTACTTACATATACATAGGAAGAATAATACCTTTAAAATCATGCTTACATAAAGCCATCCCAACTCATGCGAAAGATAACATGACAACAAGAATGATTCGTGATACTTACCTATGCCCCTTAAAATTAAAACTTGATCATCTTGATTCTTAACTTAAAAGTGATTTTTTCAACAACAAAAAAGTCAATAGTGATAAAATTTGGGTAATGATTTTGGATATTATATTTTGATGAAAGTTATAAGTTTAGTGCTCTTATACAAATATTTTGAATTAGAAAATTGTAAATGAGTTTTGCATGCAATAATAATTTAAAATAGAAGTAAAAGGAAATACTTGAATAAACCGAGTCCAACAAAAGCGTTGTTTCCTTGAGACGTTTTTGCCCGACACACGTAGCAAGCGTCTCCCATGATGGATAGAACGGTTCTTCGCTCCCAACGGGATTCTGACGAACTCAAAGATACAACGAAGGAAGAGAGAATATGGAGGAATTGTTTTGTGAATTTCGGATATCCAAAATTGAAGACAAGGCGGGTATTTATAGAGCTCTTGCCAGGAGTCTCTAACCCAAAAAGACACATATTAAAAGAATGTATATGACCTTTCTTTTAAATCGAATTGTTGTGTCTTCTATTTAGTTTTATCCGAAAAAGAAATAAAAAACGTAGCAAAAAATACAATCTCATGCCTTAGACATGTGGACTGCTGAAAACCGGAGTTGACCAGTCAAAGACCCGAACCTGATCCGACCCCGACCCGACTGGGCAATGGCGGTGCGCGTGCGTGATGAGTTAATTCCACGCTTTCCGTATACGGGTCTCAACGCACAACAAAATTTTGGTGCCCCAAGGGTCCAACCCAATAGCCAAGGAAAGCTTATAAAAAAGGCACTTCCTTAACTCTCCATTTTCAGTGTGGGACAAAGTCCTTTCCAAAATTGGTTTATAGGCAAGTTCGGGGAACAATTTCTCATTCATTTCTAAATGAGTTTGCACACTTTAATATATGGTTGAGTTCACCTTTCGGAGGACTATACTTTAGGACTTAGTCCTACCACAAACTAATTGTGGATCCTTTATTTATTTTAGCTCAAAGGTGACTATTATATTAAAGTAAAACCATTTTTTCAACAATCCCCTCACATGAATGGGAAATTGACTTAAGGACATAGATTATAATTTGGTTTTTATAGAGGAAGGTTAGGAACTCTGCATCAAGATAAGTAGTCGTGAAACTTTGAACTTACCGTAGTGTATATCCATCGGGTTTATCGACCAATCAGTGACCATTTCTTCCATGAACTATCAGCCTTAGCGTAAATCTAGACAATGAATAACATGTTTGTCTTGTACCAAAGAATTAATCTCGTACCATAGACTCTCATAGAAGCGGCCTTCTTCCACCAGCATAGGTGATCTCTATGGAAAGTATCATGTCATACCTTACTTGAATGTATCAAGATATAGAGATTATTAAAAGCGTAACTTACCCTAAATGCTCATGGCATGAGTGTACTATATCTTGGCTAGTACCGCACGAGCCAGTCCAATAGTCATCTGGTGACATGCTTTCTCCTCTGTTTTTGTTGAGGTGAACACCAGAACCAAAAGGAGTTCTCGTGGGTTTGATATCATACTTCTTGAATCTTTCAAGCATTTTTACAATGTAGTGTGATTGAGATAATATCAACCCTTCAAGTGTTCTAGTGATTTTAATTCCTAGAATTACATCCACAACGCCGAGATCCTTCATATCAAAATTTTTGGCCAACATACTTTTTGTAGCTTTTATCAAATTGTTGTTACTACCAAAAATAAACATATCATCTACGTATAAACACATTATGACGTAGTCCGTTTGATTGCCTTTCACATACACTCATTTTTCAGCCTCGTTGATTTTAAATCTATTTGATAGCATTACACTATCAAATTTATCATGCCATTGTTTGGGGCTCGTTTTAACCCATAAAGAGATTTTACTAAGCGACAAACCTTTCTTTCTTGTCCAGGGATATTGAAACCTTCAGGTTGTTGAATGTAAATCTCTTCTTCTAAATCACCATTCAAGAATGCAGTTTTTAAATCCATTTGATGGATTTTCGAACCCTTCAATGCTATATTGCTAATAGCATTCGAATTGAAGTTATTCTTGTAACCGGTGAGTAGACATCGAAGAAGTCAAACTCTCCCTTTTGGTTGTATCCTTTGGCAACCGATCGAGCCTTGTACTTCTCAATTGTTCCATCAATTCTTCTTTTCTTTTTGAAGATCCATTTGCATCCTAGGGGTTGAGATCCAAGAGGCAAATCTACCACTTTCCAAATGTGGTTAGACATGATGGAATCAATTTCACTTTTGATAGCCTCTTGCCATTGTATAGCATCTGGTGAAGACATGGCTTCCTTATAAGTTTGAGGCTCATTATCTAATAGGTACACAACAAAATCGGGTTCAAAATTCTTAGATTTTCTATCCCTTTTGTTGCGTCCCATTTCACATTCTTCCGTCACTTCATTATTATCATTTATAGAATCAAAGGCTCTCTTAAGTGAGTTTATTTGTTTGACATGGGTTGGAATGAAAACATTCATGTCGGAGGATACAACTTCACAATCTCCCTTGAAAGGAAATACATTCTTATAGAATGTAGCGTCTCTAGATTCTATAAAAATACCGGCCAATATGTCCTCATTATATGACTTGTGGACAAGGAAACGATATCCACTGCTATTTTGTGCATATCCAACAAAGAGACAATTAATGGTCTTTGGTCCAAGCTTAGTTCTTTTAGGTTTAGGAATAGCTACTTTTGCTAGACATCCTCATACCTTCATGTAATTGAAACTTGATTTTTTTCCTTTCCATAACTCATATGGGATCTTGTGTATTTTCTTGTGCGGCATTCTATTTAGAATGTAGTTGGCCGCTAGGATAGCATCCCCCCACAAATTGTTCGGTGCACGAGAGCTAACTAACATGACATTAATCATGTCCTTTAATGTTCTATTTTTCCTCTCAACGATTCCATTAGATTGAGGTGTATAAGGAGGAGTAATTTGATGAATGATTCCACTTTCTAAGAAAATGGACTCAAAGGGATATTCATATTCACCACCCCTATCACTCATTAACACTTTCATCTTTCTTCCAATTTGATTTTCAACTTCAGCTTTATAATGATTAAAAGCATTAATAGCTTCATCTTTGCTATGTAGCAAATACATATAGCAATATCTTGTGCTATCATCGATGAAGGTAATGAAATACCTTTCCCCCCTCTAGTTTCTTCATACTTGAGATCACAAAGATCTGCGTGTATGAGATCTAGCAGTTTAGTTTCTCTAGTTATAGAGTGAAAAGGTTTCCTAGCCATTTTTGCTTCATCACAAATTTCACACTTGTGATTAGGATCAATATGAAATTTAGGAAGCAATTCTAAATGCATTAATATACGCAAAGTATCATAATTGACATGTCCTAATCTAGCATGCCAAATAGAAGAAGACTCAACCGAATAAGAAGAACCCACTTTATTATTATCAACAAACTTGAAGCCATTCTTGCTAAGGAGGGCACATGAAATCAGATTCTTGCGTATGTTGGGGACATGTAGCACATCGGTCAAGGTAAGTGTTTTTTCACTTGTCATCTTAAGGACAATTTTACCATGACCGGGAAGCCTTTGAAGTGGATGAGTTACCCATAAAGAGTTGTTCTTCGTTATCAACGGGTTGATAATCGGAGAACATCCATTTGTTAGCGCAAATATGATGGGTAGCTCCCATATCAACATACCACTCCTTGGTGTTTCCCACCAAAAAGTATATTTACGAATTACGAGCGCACAAGCCAGTGACTGCGTCGAAATGTTGTGTAAACAAATTATGAAATATTATAGATACATTTTCCTCACTCATGAAATAGGTTTTATGTCATGCAAAACAATATCACTCACAAATAATAGTTGTATATGTGACTCTATATAGACATAATATGAATTTTCATATAAAGTTCTTTCACAGAGACAAAAGTTGCAAGTTGACACATTTTTCAATGATGTAGTTGTATATGTAATCGATATACATTTGATTTGAAAAAAATTCTAAAATTCTAAAAAATTTGAAAAGATGAATATGGGAAAAAAAGTTTGAAATAAAAGAGTAGATTAGAAGATATCAAGAAGAAAATAGGATGATGAAGATGGTTAGGAGATAAAAATTTACCCAACAAGGGTTAACCCTAAAATCTAAACATCACAAACTTTTCAAACAATTTTTACCTGGGTGATTCTTCAAAATAGGAGTAAATAGATTTTGCAATTCCAAAATAGAATTACTATGTTTTTCTTTACGAGACAATCAACATAGCGGTATACTGACAGAATTTTCAATCTATGACAGTTTTTTCAATCATGACGGTAACAACTCTTATTTCAGGAAGAAAAACCTGAGTTCTATTTTGAATTCTAAAACTTATTTAGTCCTATTTAGAACAATTTCCCTTTTCACGTTTACTGATTAGCAATTTAGCATGTAAAATTGATAATTAATAAAAATCTAATTAATCCAAAAGGCTAAGCTACTATTGGTAAACCTTGTCAATTTGATATTCTCTGCCCTATGCCCTAAACCACAGCAAACACAAAAAAATCGGAATTTTCATCCATCTAACTGTAAACGGAGAATCTTATTATCATATTGAAAAAGGGCTTGCGAGCCGATAGAGTTGGGCATCAAGAACAATGTTGCTCCAATCCGTCACAACCACAACCGCAGCGCCGGTTCACCACCACCGTCTCCGCCGTCTCTCACTCTCAGTGCATATCTCTCACTTGCTCTCATCCCCTCCCGGGTTCTCAGCATCGATTCTTCTTTACTGTCCGAAGAGCCCTGCGATCTCATGTTCCTCAAAATCGAATGTTAGCACTGTGGACTATGAGAAGAGGCCGAAACTCGATTGGTACAAAATCTACAAGCGTATATGCACTGCTATAGGCTCGGAAGCAACCAGCGCTGATGCAGTGCTAGAACAGTATGAGAATGAGGGTGCGGAGATTTCAATACCGGATCTTTTGCTTATTATTAAGGAACTCCGCACATCCAAGCGATACAAGCTTGCTCTCCAGGTTATACTCTCCCAGCCTAAATTAAGGATTTTCCTTTACCCAGATAGCATGCTCCTTTGTACAATACCCAGTAATTCTGAACTCTCTATTTATATGGAAGTTAATCTTCCATCAAATTGTAGTATGGTGAATGCTCTGTTTGAATTGAGGTTCAGTTATGTCAAGGTACACGTAGGAAACACAAGTTAGGTTAGTAGGAAATAGATTCACAGGATCGAATAACATAGACATATACACTAATTACTCCCTATCATGGTGAACATGGGTGAATGGTTAATAGTTTTGAGTGTTAAAAAAGTCCCAAAACGATGTGGGTCAAATTATTTACCAGGATCAACTCCGTACAAATGGAGCATAACTGTTTAGTGCATGCTGGGTAGTTCGATACCATATTGCGTATACATATTTTTCATTCATAGATCAGCTGTGATTATTCTGCAGGTATATGAGTGGATGAAGGATAGAAGGCACACATATCATGTAACTAAAAAAGGTGCTGCAGATCATTTAAATTTAATATACCAAGTGAATGGAATCTCAAATGCTGAAGACTACTTTATGAATTTGCCAAAACATTTGAAGGACAACCGAGTGTATGGCTCACTCTTGAATGCCTATGTCCAATCAGAAATGAGGGAAAAAGCGGAATCTTTATTTGAGGAGATGAAAACCCAAGGTTTTGCCAGTAATTCTCGCCCATACAATGTGATGATGACCCTTTACAATAAACTCAAGGTTAATGACCAGGTGGAGCGTATAATATCAGAAATGGATTCGAAAAATATTTTAGACGCGGTTTCTTATAATATATGGTTGACGTTCCTTGGATACCAAGGATCTGTGGAGAAAATGGAAGAAGCATTTGAGAAAATGAAAATGGACCCTCGTGTTATTATTCACTGGAGCACATTCAGCATAATGGCTTCAATGTACATTCAGATGGGTGAGATGGAAAAAGGTGAAGATTTTGTGAGACAGATGAAGAGTAGAATCAATATTAAGGAGCGTATCTCTTATCATTACCTCATTAGTCTGTATGCTAGAGTTGGTAACAAGGAAGAGGTATACCACGTCTGGAATATCTACAAGGCAAATTTTCGCCGCATCTCAAACATGGGTTACCATGCACTGATCTCTTCTCTTTTAAGATTGGATGATATTGAAGGCGCTGAAAACTCATTTGATGAGTGGATGTCACAAATGACGCGTTTTGATGCCAGAATGCCGAATCTTCTTCTGAGTTGGTATTTGAGGAACGGGTTATTGGATAAGGTTGAAAGTTTTTTTGCACAAATTGTCGATGCGGGAAAACAGCCCAACTCAACGACATGGGAAATCATTGCACAATTGCATATCAGGAGGGGGAGAGTTTCAGAAGCTTTGTCTTGCTTGAGAGATTCTTTTTCGGTTGAAGGTTCTGAAAACTGGGCACCCAGGCATCCTACTATATCTTCTTTTATGCAGCTTTGTGAGCAACATGATGATGTGAAAAGCAAAGAGGAATTGATTGAGATGTTGAGTGAAGCGGGGCGTTTTAATCGCGAGGCCTACATGTCTTATATCTCCGTACAAAGCACTGTGGATAGTGAGAAGAAGGATGGCGATGAAATAACTGATGTCCTACTCAATGAACTACATGGAAGCTTACAATAACTTCCACATGTACTTATATTTGACTTGCTAAATCACTACACCAAGGTGTTTGTAAGGTAAAGGAAAATGTTGTTCTGTTTGTGAAGTGATTGGAATTGTTAGGATGCTCTTTGATGAGAATCTGCTAAGATTTTGTCAAACGTTTCCGTTTATCATGGGCTCATAGCTAACTGTCACCGGAGTTAATGCCGGCCGCCTAGACACTACTTTGGCCTATTTCAGTGAAGGGGTTTAGGTGAGAAGAAGCTTTTGGTGGTATTAGCCTATATAGGTAAAAATTGAAAAATGTAATGTGTTTTTTCGTATAACACTAACATATTACCATTTCAATCATATTTATTCTTTATTAGAAGTTCTCTCTATCAAGATATAGATAAATTTAATATGTGATCGTTCCTGTTATATATCAGTCATCTTTACCAGGGTTTAGAATTACTCTGCATATCAAGATTTATGTTAGGGGTGGGCAAATTTAGTGTGCAATTAGGGTAACCAATATTTCACTTATTAGATTTCCAATACTACCATAACACTGGTCACCGGCAGTCCGGCATGTCGTGTAATAAAACCTTGGTATGCTTATTCTGTTAATCAAAATATCACACATTCAAATTTAGTATGCATATACATATATATATATACACACACACACACACACACACACACACACTCTTACTAATTTTTATTCTGCTTGAAAATGGTATATGCAACATGCATGGCCAACAATTGTGGTCTCATAATATTGTAAGAAATGTGGTTGACTCCGCCAGAATGTGGATACTCCCATATTTTCTCAACCCCCCCCCCCCCCCACCACCCCAAGTTCATAGTACTAAATTACAAAGGGAGATTTCCCAAAATAGGAGTAAATGAGGTTTGGAATTCCAAACTAGGACTCCTATGTTTTCTTCCCAAAATAGGATTAACATGACATTATTTACTGTCATCTTATGGGCATGATTGCTAAATAGTTGCAGTATTATGTATTCAACATTTAAGCATTTATTATAATTATTGACAATTTTTTTTAATCATGTCAGTAACGACTCCTATTTCGGGAAGAAAAACATAGTAGTCGTATTATGGAAATTTCAAATCTCATTTACTCATGTTTTGGGCAATTTCCCAATTAGTAATTACTCCGTATATGATGGTGAAAATAGTTACTGTGGAGTATTATTTAGTCCGTAATTTGACTAAACGAATATCTACATTGCAATTTGCAAATGAGAGTTCTCCAGGAATACTCTCATCCCTACACAGCTTGCGCCAAACAACAATACAAGAAAATATGTCGAGAATACTCCGTACCCTGTGAAGTTTATCTTTTGTTGGTAGACAAGCAAAATAGAGGCTTGTCAAAAAAATGATTTTACTTAGGAGGAGTATCAATTTTTTGGGATATTCCAAATAATTCTTCTCATTTTCCATCTAGGAAAGTTTTGTGTGTCACACCGGGAAGAACTTAATGGGACAGAGGGAGTAATTCCTACTCTCATAGACTCATAGCATTGTGGTATAATCTTGAATTATCCAAAATGGATGTAAAAACTGTTTTTGAATTAGAGGAAGAATTGAAATACACTATCGTACTTGGTATATGATGTACTCCTATTACCCAAGGTAAAGTAGACACACCGAATGAGTTGGAGTAATAGTGTTTCCTTCAAAACTCCGAATAATTTGAACTACAAAAAGCTGCAAAATGCAGCGTGTAGCACCCAAACCGCTGAAAGTAAGAAGGAATACATTCAATTCAATATCAATATTATGTTAAGAACCTTTATAAAAATGAGTTGGTACATTCGTAAAATCACAAATAATTAAAAATAAACTTGCACTAATCATTAATGTACTTAACAAGTACTCCCTCAGTCTCAAATTGTAAGATACATTTACTATCCACTTGGTCAACTTAAATCACTCTTAATCTTTTACTTTATATATAAAAAATGTATGAAATTTGAATTATTTTTTACAGGTTTTGTAGCTGTTTTTATGTAATTTCTGGATATGTAAATTTTATTTTCTAAAACTAATTTGAGTGTTTACAGGGATCAATTTGCTTTATCGTCGGTCAAACATCGTAAACCATAAAGTATCTTACAAAATGGGACGGAGGAAGTACTTAACAAACAAATCTAGCTAGTCTCTTCAGTGAATAAGTAGGGTTGGTAAATAACTAATCTATGTTTTTTCTCTTTGGAAAGCCTGAAAATGTTTGCATAAATGAGTCAAACCAAAAAACCAAAAATCGACCAGAATTAACTGATCCGGAAACGACTCAAGTAGTGTGGTTCGGCTTAAACCCCTTTCTCTAGGAATCAACTAGGAAACCGAATCGACGAGTACCTCTATATATGACTGTGTTTACCCTCCCCAGCCTAAACGGGTTTCACAATTTGATTGGTTGGGTTTCTGCCTTTGTCCTTTAATTTTTAGTTTCATGTTGATTCTTTCTTTGTAGTTTTTGTTTTTTCCGGTTACAGTTTTTCTTCAAAATTATGGTGATCGATCATTTGTGTTCTTGGTCCTACTTAGCTACCCTAGTGGAGTTTTGTATGTCAAGAGCCGCATTCTTCGGCTGTGTGTACCGATAAGAGCCTATATTCTGATTTAACTAATTTAATTATTAAATAGAGTATATTTGGTCATGTGGCTCTGTCCTTTGTTTCCACTCATCACTCTTTACATTGCATGATGGGTTGTCAATGTATTTCCCATCATTTGTTTAAATCCCACAACTTTTTTTATTTTTAATCCCATTTAAAAAAAAGATGACACCCCCCATCCTTGTGGGGCTCCAACACCGACCCGACAATTAGATAGGAAGGATGTAAATTTGACAGATAGAGAGTGGAGCTCTGATTCTAGTACTTGCAAAGACTCTATGCATTTTAGCATAGTAACCTCTCATCGCAGTTGACGGGATTCGAACACGAGACCTACCCCTTGTGGCACCCCCCATTTACCAGTTGATCTACGTCCACCGGTTTAATCCCACTTTAAGAGTATGGGGTGATAATTTAAAGAGAAATTTCGATCCCCTTTGATAACATTAGCAACGGTTGAATTAGTTGAATCTATTGAAATTGATGAAATTCTTACTCAATTAACCGAATCTGTGGAATTGTGCAGTGAGAAAATAAACTTTACTGATAAAATTAGGAAGAAATTATATGAAAATAGCTAATCTACGCTAACTTAAGTCAATTTCTCTAAAAAAGTTTTTATCATATGAAAATAGCTAATCTACACTAACTTAAGTCAATTCTGCCAAAAAAGTTATGTGTTTGGTAAAAAAAAAAGTTAGTTGAAAACCCATTTAATAACCTCAATTTTTAGTTTATCAGCCAACCTTTTCACATAATACGTAAGTTAGTAAGGTTATAGTTACATTTCTGGTTGAATTGACTGAAATTACCATATATGATTATTTTAGCTATTTTCACATAAATTTTTGAAGCATAATTTTTTACGCATATTAGATTCAGTGAAATCAACCATTTCAATCACTATTTCAGCAACTTCAATAGATTTAGAATCCAGTTTGGTAACATTAAAATTGACTGAATTGGCTAATTTTGCTGAAATTTATGAAGTTCTGGCTAAAGTGACTGTATTGGCTGATTCTGCTGATTAATGAAAAAATTATATTTAAAATATTTGTTAGTAATAAATTAATTAAAAAATTATATGAAAAAATAGCTAAAATGATCCTCTACAATAACTTCAGTCAATACAGCCAGAAAAGTAACTACAACCTTACTTTTTCTGCTTATTACAAACTTCTACTCACGAAATCAAAAGTTACGTGTTTGGTGAAAAAGTTGGTTGATAAGCCTGATAAGCTGAAAAAAGGGTTACCAAATGGCTTTTAAGTGATTCAATAAATTTGAGAATTATGAAAGATGTTCTCAACGGATGAACTTAAAACGGAGTTAACAAACACCGGTGGGCGTAGCTCAACTGGTAGTGAAGGAGTGTCACAAGGGTTAGGTCTCGGGTTCGAATCCCGACAATTGCGATGAGGGATTACTATACTAAAATGCATAAAGCCTCTGCAAGTACCGATGACAGAGCCTCATTCTATATCTGTCAGATTGAGATTATAGTTCAATTTACATCCTTTCAACGACCCGTCCAGTCAGGATTAGGGGGGCCTAAGCGATGGGTGTCGATCCTTTTTTTCCCAATATTCACGACAAGTACACAATAATGCATGAATAAATGAACTCTATTGTTTTATTTGGGCTTAGTTGTGGTTTTCGTCCCATCACGATTTTGAGTTGCTGTCCACCAATTTTTTTAATTAATTAATTAATGCGTCAATCTGCCGCCAATTGAGCTATTGATGTTTACAACCGTTTACGGTCAAATTTTGGACTTTAACGGTAAATTATAGATGGTTCTTGCTCCCGCCACTAACTTCTTGCACAGACAAAGGAACACATTACACATCAAAATTTAATTCCTGTAAGATATACTATGTACTTCCTTTGTAATAAACAAATCTTCTCACTTTCCTTTTCCGTCTTTAACGAAAAAAACTTTTCATTTCTAAATCTTTTAATTATACTCTAATAATTTTAAAAATAATACACTATTACAAATACAGTTTTTGGATTTATTCTTGATTATGTTACATTATTTTACAATCTTCGCATCATACTCTCAATAATTTATATTTTTTCACTATTATTAATATACCTACTTTTGAAATGAGAAGTTTTTTGTGTTACGGAGGGAGTAAGGCACAAACGCATATTTACAAATAGTAAAAGTATAAGAACTCCCATGAAAATCTACATATACTAACTACTCCCTAGTAATAAGTATGATGAGCCATTGAACTATTTAGGAGATAAGTGAAATTGAATCATACTCCCTTCGTCTCTGAATTATCTTCCAACTTTCTTTTATCTTCCGTTCTAAAATAATCACTCTTTTTCATTTTTAACAAAGAATTTGTAGTTCACAGTAATTTTTAAATATTCTTAAAATTTTCTCTATCCTCTGCACAACTCTACGTAGCTCTCACTTTCTTAATGTTCCTACAAAATACACCAAATTTTGTGAGAGCTACGTAGAGTTGTGCAAAGGATAGAGAAAATTTTAAGAGTGATTAAAATTTGGATGATAAGCAGTTGACCATATATACATGTGTATACAATGACAATGGGGATCTTTTTAATTGGATTGGTTTCAAGCGAAGATCAAATCATAATACACTAAATCAGACTTAAAACACACTCGACTAGACCAATCTCGACTTTACAATTATAGAATCAGGGGCGTACTCAGGATCAGAGTTTGGAGTGGACTGGTATAAAGAATTTGCCAGATAAACTT